AAGAGAGAGAGAGGAGAGAGAGAGAGAGAGAGAAGAGAGGAGGAGAGAAAGAGAGAGAGAGAGAGGAGGAGAAGAGAGAGAGAGAGAGAGAAGAGAAGAGGAGGACGAGAGGGAGAGAGAGAGAGGAGAGAGAGAGAGAGACGAGAGGAAGAGAAGAGAGAGAGAGAGAAGAGAGAGAGAAGAGAGAGGAGAGGGAGGAAACACACACACACACACACACAGACGCGCCATTATTCAACCGCACTCACTCAATTCCACAGGCAGAGAGGAATTTGAGTGGAACGAGTGGACACAGAGCCTCATCACGGGGCCTTCTTCTGGGATACATATGGACACAGATTCCAGGTGAGGACACGCGGTCGGGAAATCAACTTTTCTCTCTCATACAAGGAAAATACAGCATGGACGGTTAAGGCCCCCAGCTTAACTTAACCTAAGGCTCTTTTGAAAAATCCGGCCCCTTATCCTTATCAAAATCACTGCTGTTATCTCTATACTCCCTATATTATTATCATTATTGCCCAAAAGTTAATCCTAGCCATCCTTACAAGAACTCCGCCAACCGCCCCCATCATTTTACAGGAAGCAGAACGGCCGATGTATAAAACTTATTCATATCATTATCATTATCCTCCCTATCGTTGCAACAACCCAGTCAACGATCTACACCGTTAATCAGGAGGCATAATATCCAATATCTATCCTTATTCACATCATCATTAACCAAATTATTCATCCTCTCTATCCTTTAAAATATGCCAATGAGCCCCCCGCGTTTTTCAGGAGGTAGACTGGCCGAGGTATTTGGCGCGAGGCGGGTGTTCGGAGGCGCTCTCACGTGCGCTTCCATCGTGTCTTTTTTCATCCCCCTGGCGGCCAAGTCGGGATCGGTGACCCTCATCGTTGTCAGGGTCATTCTGGGGTTATCCGAGGTCAGGGAAGGTTCTCTTTTTGAGTGTAGGGATAATCGTATGTGTTTGTGATTTATGTGTGTTTGTATGGGTGTGTGTTTGTGATTTGTTGTATTGTGTTTGTATGTGTGTGTTTGTGATTTATATGTGTGTGTGTTTTGAGCTTTATGTGTATGTGTGTGCGTTTGTGATTTATGTGTATGTGTGTGTGTTTGTGATTTATATGTGTGTGTGTTTGTGATTTATGTGTATGTGTGTGTGTTTTGATTTATGTGTATGTGTGTGTGTTGTGATTTATGTGTGTTTGTATGGTGTGTGTGTTTGTGATTTATGTGTTTGTAATTCATGTGTGTTTGTATGTGTGTACTTGTGATTCGTTTATGCGTTCGTGCGTGTTTGTGTCTGTGTGTATTTTATTAATTTCTCTATTCTCCTGTCTACTTATAATTTCTACCTCATTATTCATTTTTTTATTTATCATTTATGTACTTACATTTTAATAACCAAAATCTAAAATGTCATAATTATCTATTTCTATTTAAATCACCAGTGCGCAAGGTGACAGTCTTTTGTCATTCTATCCACCTCCTTCTTTTTCTCTTTCTAATGCAATTTCAATCTGATATATACCTTCTTATTCCCCCTTACAAAATGACCTTCAGAGAATTAAAAAAAAAAAAGGATATAGCTTGTTTATTAAGATAAATGACGAGATTTTGATCATTATCAGATTAAAGACGATGTTATCGGGAAAATGAGATATACAGTGCTATTTGCCCCTTTAATGATTAGCAGTGTTGGGGGAGCATATTAACAAAGAGTGAATCGGAGAGAAGGAAGGGGATGGAGAGAGAGAGAAATGGAAGGAGGGAGGGAGGGAGGGAGGGAGGGAGGGAGGAAGGAAGGAAGGAAGGGAGGGAGGGAGGGAGGGGAGGAGAGAGGAAGATAGAAGAAGAGAGAGGAGGAGGAGAGAGAGAAGTGATAATAGATAAGGAGAGAGAAGGAGGGAGGGAGGGAGGAGAGATAGAGTAGGGAGTAAGAGGAGAAAGGACAGAGAGAGAGAGAGAGAATGAGAGAGAGAGAGAGAGAGAGGGAGGAGGGGAGAGATAGAGAGAGGGAGGGAGGGAAGAGATATAGATGAGAAAGAGAGAGAGGGAGGGAGGAAAGATATAGATAGAGAAAGAGAGAGAGGGAAGGAGGGAGGGAGGAGAAGAGATAGAGAGAGGAGGAGGAAGAGATATAGATAGAGAAAGAGAGAGAGGGATGGAGGGAGAGGGGAGAATAGAGAGGGAGAGGGAAGAGATATAGATAGAGAAAAGAAGAGAGGGAAGGAGGAGGGAGAAGAGGAGAGATAGATAGAGAGGAGAGAGAGAGAGTGAGGAGGGGAGTCGAAAAAGAGATGGAGAGGGATACTGAGTAACAGAGAAAGTGAAAAAAGAGGAGGAGAGTGAGATAGACAGACAGGGAATGGGAAAGAAAGAAAGAAAATATATAAAAACAGACTAAGATCAAAGAAAAAACAGACCGACAAGTGATATATATATATATATATATATATATATATATATATATATATATATTATATATAC